GAACTCACAGAGATCCGCCTGCCTCTGTCTCTGAGTGCTGGGATTAAAGGCATGCACCCAGCTACAAACACTTTTTAAAAAAGTTACCAAATAGCAATATTTAAAGGAGCTCATTTTGATTTTTAGAAAACTGTAAGACCCATTGTCCATAAGTCCTGGCCGGTTAGTTTAGTGTCTGTAGCTCACACGATGGTTTAGCATTCACTCTTCTCAGGTTGTGTGATTATCATAGTTAATGCTTTTCTTTTATTATCAACCCTCGGGTTTCTGTCCTCTTTAATTTTTAGGAAGGAAAAAGCTATTTAAATTCTTCTTCCTCCTCTTTTTTTTTTTTTTTAAAAGACAAGGTCTCAATATGTATCCCCAGCTGGCATTCAGCTGGCATTGAACTTGTAGCCTTGAACTCATAGATCCACTTGCCTCTGCCTCCTGAGTGCTGGATCAAAAGTGTGTACCGCCATGCCTGCCCTTTTAAAAATATTATTATTAAAGATTTATTTGTGTGTGTGTGTGTGTGTGTGTGTGTGTGTGTAGGCCCAAAAGAGGTGTCCAATTCTTGTCTAGGTGTCCAATTCTTGTCTGTGTATGCATGGAGGCCCCAAAAGGTGTCCATTCCTTTGGAGCTGGAGTTTTGGACATTTGTGAACTGCCAGTTGGATGTGGGTACTTGGATCCAAACTCTGGTTCTCTAGTACAACAGTAAGCACTCTTAACTGCTGACCGGTCTCTCTAGCCCCCTATTTAAATTATTCTTCAGGAAATTATCAGATACTGTTTCAGATCAAAAAGACAGAATCACCCTTTTACCAGTTCTCCTGGGCATGAGGGGGAGCCAGAGTTGACTGGTTACTGTTGTGTGCTGGCCCTGCTGTGGTGCTTTCTGTATGGTCTTTCCATTGGAGGTGTTATAAAGATGTATTTTCTCAGTATGTCTTAGGAGCCCTTAACAACCCTCAATGCTTGCTTATCTGCCTTACCTTTTGTTATTCTCAGCTTTGCTTTTTGTGCATCAGCTAGTGTCTGTTTTCTTTTTTGTAAATTTTATTTTATGTGTGTGTATTGCCTGCATGTAGGTAAGTGTACCTGTGTTGTGCAGTGCCCTCGGAGGACAGAAGAGGCTGTCGGATCCCCTGGAACTGGAGTTACGGACAGTTGTTAGCTGCCATGTGGGTGCTGGCATGCGAACCAGAGTCTTCTGCAAGAACAATTAGTGTTCTTAACTGCTGAGCCATCTCTCCAAATCCCCATTTATTTTTATTTTTTAACCCTTCTGAATCACTTGCTGTTCTTTTCCCGCTCTGCCTGCTGCTGTTCCTTGTGCCTCTCAGCTAATCCCTGCTTACCCTACAGGCTGAGGTTTAGGTCTCGGTTCCTTGGGCACCTGAATTTCTGTAGGGCTCCAAGTCCTATGAAAGTTGGGGCCATGTTCTATTCCTACCAGCCAGTGGAATGCTCAATCTTATTTGTTGAATGAATAAACAATCTTCACAAATGGATCATTTTTAACCCTAAGTTATAAGTAAATGGTTGTCTCCTGAGTTCAAATAGAAGACTAACACCAAAGTTATGTCTTCCCCTGGTCTAAGCTACTCCAAAGCTCTAAGCTACTAAATACCTGGAGGAGGACTGGCAGACACAGCAGGTAATTGAATTGGGATGCTATACCTAATTACATAATTGATCAAATACAGAAACATAATGCAATCAATTTTCCATAAACCTCATTACACAAATACTGGCTTTACTATCTGTAAAAATGGATTTATTATGATTTTAGATTTATACAAATTAAAATGATGCAATAAAGGCAGCCTGTAAATCCAGAGGCATTTGTGGGATTCTGAGATGTATTATTCCAAAATTCTTTATTCTCATAGGTGAGATTCACAAGTCCCTCAAAGAAACTTTTCTTTCCAAGGTACAGTTGAAAAGTTAGAATATATTCTGGAAATTATGCAAAATACTTCCTTTAAATACTCCTTTGTAGTTTCCTCTAACCAGTCCCGATTATATTAATTACACATCTCCTTTAAGGAGCCTTCTTGCTTTATAACTTTGAGATCTCTGGTCCTTATTTTCTCCCCTCCCTCCATCTCTCCCTCCTTCCCTCCCCCCTTCTCTCTTCTCCAACCCCATCCTTTGTATCAAGCCTCCTTACACTTTTGCTTTACTTACATTGAGTCTTTAAAGTCCTAAACTACAAAAGAGCCTCCTGTGCAGCTCTTTGCTTATTCACTTCTTACAGCATGTTATGTGTGGGTTTGTGTATCTCTGGTACCACACTGTAGGACTTTTTAAGGGTACTTCCTGGCTTATAGGCATTCATACATCTCATAGTCCCTGGGACCTGACATAATACTGAGAACATAGCATGCTTATATACTACATTAAAAAAAGAGAGAGAGAAAGCTGGGCATGGTGGCACATGTCTTTAATCCCAATACCTGGGAGGCAGAGGCAGGCAGATGTCTGTAAGTTCAAGGCCAGGCTGGTCTACATAGTGAGTTCCAGGCCAACTGGGGCTACAGGGAGACCTTGTCTCAAAAAGACCTAATAAATAATAATAATAATAATAATAATAATAATAATAATAATAAATGAATCACAGTTCTTTGGCTGCAGATCTCCTTTAATATGAGATAATACATTGCTGAGAGTGTGCAGCAAGAAGCAAGGGACATAGTCCTTATATCTTTGTTCTCTGGACTTATGGAGTAGCCCTCCAGATTACCTTAGTGTTTTGGTGGTGGTAGTTTTTGTTTTTTTGTTTTGTTTTGGTTCAGATTCCCATTGTGGAGTGTTAGCAGTTTTCCTGCCCTATTATCTCTCTGCCTCTTTGGACCAAAGCATAGCATAGAGCTACTGTTTCATCTAAATTAGGGAAGTTTTTTTCTGCAGAACTGACCACAAAATTCTTCATTTAAAACTGAATGTGGTCTGTTAGCAAGCCCAATAAACTCATTAGGATATTCCAAAACAAAAGAACATCATTGTATATATGTGTTTTTATGTAACCTGCTTCACGTTATTTCTGGAAAAATGTGTTAAAAATTGCCTCTCATTGCAATAATTTAAAAACCCTGAATTTGTGGGGAGGTGGGGGCGCTGGAGAGATGACTCAGGAGTTAAAAGCACTGGCAGCTCTTACAGAGGATACAGGTTCAAAAGCACTGTCTGTTCTTACAGAGGACACAGGTTGGATTCCCAGCACCCACACAACAGCTAACAGCCATCTGTAACTCCAGTTCCAGGTGATTTGATGCCCTCTTCTGATATCCTTGGGCATTTAATGACATGGGTTCACCTACACATGTGCAGAGACAATATGCGCATTCACATAAAATTAAAATAATAAATAAAATATATTAAAAATAAATAAAAAGAATGAGGGACTGAAGAGCTGGCTCAGAGTTAAGAGCGCTGGCTGCTCCTGCAGAAGACCCAGGTTCAGTTCCCAGCTCTCACATAGTAGCTAACAACCTTCTATAACTCTAGTTTCAGGGGATCCTATGCTGTCTTCTGGACTCCATGGGCATTACATGACACGGGTGCACTTTACATACATGCAGGCAAAGCACTCATACATATAAAAGAATAAAATAATAATTTTTTTTTTGCTAAGTGAAAGTCTTTTATTAGCTGGTCAGCGACTACACCAGGGGTTTGGAACCCAAGTGCAATGCCCTGTCAGTGTTAGAGTAGGGTTTTATGCAGAAAAACTACATCCAGGGTGAGAAGTTTAAGTTTCCAAGCATTTCCATAGCTCAGGGGTGGAGAACCCCATATATATATGTATATATATATAT